TTAAAGTGTTCATCCTTCCTAAACTCATTTTTATTTTTAGAGCGTTGCCGATTTTTGTTCCAAACTCTTTGCTTAAAAAATGGCAACTGGAACTCAATAATTTTATTTGGGAATACAAAAAACCACGGCTTAACTTCTCGACCATTACTAGATCTAAACAGCAAGGAGGACTAGCGGTCCCTAATATTCATTTATATCATGACTCAATTATCTTAGCAAATTTAATTAAACAATATAAAAACTCACCCTCTTGCGATTGGAAAGAAATGGAAGATCCTTTCTTTCCAACAGGATCCTTTCGTGAATCTCTGTGGAACTATAAATATCATAAAGGTCATAAAAAGATCAATAACCCTTTTATACCAGCACTATTCAGAATTTGGAGTAAATACAATAAATACTTGGTTCCGCACATGTCAATTCTTTCAAACTTTACTGGCCAACCTTGGTTTCTACCTGCTCGGCACAGAGATTCGTTTAAAATTTGGAAAATTTTAAATATTACCAGATTCAAAGACATCTTGTCTCAGGGCCATATGAAACCTAAGTCTCAACTTGAAGGAGGATCCGGTCTAGTAATTCCCTGGTATGAATACTTTCAGGTCAGACAACTTCTTAACTCCAAAACTTGCAAATCTCTACGTATCAAACTCACTGACTTCGAAAAACTCATGTTTGATGACTCAACTCATTTGAGAGGTTTGATCTCCACCATATATTCTTTGTTATCGTGCCTCAATAAACCTCATTTGCTTCATTATCAAAAGGCCTGGCACAAAGATTTAGCACAGGACCTTACCGCAGACCAATGGGACCTTATCTGGAGCTCTTCAGCCCTTACCTCTCCCTGCTTAAACTTACAAGCTCAGACGTACAAACTTGTGGCCAGATGGTATAAAACCCCGCTACAGCTCTCACATATTTCAAAGTCTATCTCCCCTAAGTGCTGGAAGGGCTGCGGGCTTACAGGTACTTTTTTACACTCATGGTGGTCTTGTCCCCTGATACAGAAATTTTGGTCTCAAATCATTGTTGAATTAAACAAACTTATTAATTTTTCTATTCCATTATCTCCATACGTTATCCTTTTGAATTTGTGGGACGACATATCCATCCCTAGTTATATCCAGGATCTTTCAGTTACTTTACTTGCTGCAGCAAAAGCGGTATGGGCCTCTAAATGGAAATCTACTGCAATCCCTACCATTCATGAATGGTATAATAAAGCATGGGAATATTTTGTTTTTGATAAATTAACGATAGAATTAGACCATCCTGATTCAGAACGGCGAAAACTTTTATTTGTTAAGAAATGGTCATTGTTTGTTCAAAAAGTTATTGGACATACGAATTTTTCAAAAATAGATATTGTTAATCGTTCCAATATTTGTTTGATTGTTTCTTGTTAGTTATATTATGCTAAAATTATACTTGTTTTTATTTATATTTTATTTTTATTGTTTAATTATTACTATTTTTATTAAACAACTTATTATTATTATATTATTATTTTATTATAATTTTGTATTACTTGTTATATTGTGTAAATCTTGGCATTGTATGTAATATGCTTATTTTGTACACACTTGTTTTAATATTTGACAAATGCTTACGTTTATTGTAACTTTTTGACAGTTGTTGAATAAAGTATTATAAAAAAAAAAAATTATAAAGTATATTCTCTCAGTTGTTATAATTCTTGTCTTTTTGTAATATACATCTCCCTGTTTTTCCTGGTTATATTTATTGCGTTATGTGTATTGTACAAAAGTATAAAAATAACTTTTTTTAAAAAAGACGTCCGCGTGCACATGAAAGCTTATACCCAGTGTAAAACTTTTCTTAAGGGTTTCTCTGGACTCAAACTTTCTTCACCATAGAGAACTAACAGTGTTTTTAAAAAATTAATTGCAATCATTGCCTTTGTTTCATGGCTGTACAGGTACCTTTTGTGTGCTTCCGGTGACGACATAAAAGTCTACAGTACTGCTACAGAAGAGTGTTTGCACGTCCTACAGGGTCACACTAACCTCGTGACGGGAGTCCAGTTGAATCCCCAAAATCATCTCCAGGTGAAAGCTTATACCATGAATAAAACTTTGTTGGTCTTAAAGATGCCACTGGACTCAAACTTTGTTCTCCGATTTTTCTAATGGTTATCCTATGCCACTGTGTGCCTGATCCTTGGTATAGTGTTTAAGAGCGTGAATTCTAATCTGGGAGAACTGAGTTTGATTCCCCACTCCTCTTCCATATGCAGGTGCTGGTGTGACCTTGGGTCAGTTACAAGTTCTTTCAGAGCTGTTCTCTCAAGGGCAGTTCTCGATAGAGCTCTCTCAGCCCCACCTACCTCATAGCGTGTCTGTTGTGGGGAGGGGAAGGGAAAGGAGACTGTAAGCCACTTTGAGACTCCTTCGGGCAGTGAAAGGTGGGGTATAAACCCAATCTCTTCTTTCTCCTTTTTAATTTAAAAAAATCTTGAATGTAACCTGCTAGCACAGTGCCCAGAATACTGTTAAGAACTAATTGGTGTGTGTGTGTGTGTGTTTTAAGTGAGCTGGTAATGGGAGTAATTATTCTCCATTTCAGTCATGAAAACTTGTGAAGGACCTATGAAGTATTTTATTTATTGTTACTTATTTGAAATACTTATTAGTCGCCTTTCTTCCATATGGAGCTCGAGGTGGCTTACGGTATTAATCAAATACATCGAAAACATTAAAAGACATAAAATCAAAATTTAAAATGGCCATTTAGGACTGTTTTAATTAGATGCAGACTTTGGTAAAGCCGTCTTCAGCTGCCTCCTGGAGATCGAAAGTGACAAGGCTAATCACACCTCCCTGGGGAGGTTGTTCCATAATCGTGGGGCTGCCACTGAAAAGGCCCTTTCACATTTACCCCCTAATTGAGCTGTTCTGATTGATGGGACCGTCAGGAGGGCTTCTCCCTGAGAGCCAGTTTGGTGTAGTGGTTAGGGGCACGGACTCTAATTTGGGAGAACCGGGTTTGATCCCCCACTCCTCAACTTGCACCTGCTGGTGTGACCTTGGCTTAGTCCCAAGTTATCTTAGTCCCAAGTGAAGGGGTGGGGTCTAAGGATGCAAATCATTGAACCTTGAACAGTGTCTGTTCTGAAGAAGTGTGCGTGCACACGAAAGCTTATACCCAGAATAAAACTTGGTTGGTCTTGTTTGGTGTAGTGGTTAACAGCACGGACTCTAATCTGGGAGAACCAGGTTTGATTCCCCACTCCTCCACATGCAGCTGCTGGTATGATTCCTACTTCTTCACATGCTGCTGCTCTGAGCCTGCTTGTCGAGGAGGGTAGGGCAGGGTATAAATCAAGAAATAAATACATAAAGGAAGAAATGACCTTGGGTCAGTCACAAGTTCTTTCAGAGCTGTTCTCTCAAGGGCAGTTCTCAAGAGAGCTCTCTCAGCCCCACCTGCCTCACAGGGTGTCTGTTGTGGGGATTTTAAGCCGCACTGAGAGTCCTTCAGGAAGTGAAGGGCGGAGTATACATCCAATCTCTTCTCTTCTTCTTAATTCCCAGACAGGAATAAATATGGGAGAAGACAGGAGTAATGATTAGCTATCCACCAGCTATGCCTTATGTTTGAGCCTAGATTAAATGTGTATTCTACAGTGTAATCATAGCACAAGCTTTGCTTCTGTTCTTACTCTGTTATAGTGGAGTAAGATGAGTTTTCAGGCTCCTTTCAGAGTCCTGGTCAAGACATTTAAGTCATGCAGGTTTTAAGAGGATAGTTTTTAAATGTATCTTTGGATTCCTGGATGGGTTCCTTCATCCTGTCCTCTTATGGCTGAAATGAAAACTGTAAAGTCTGAGAATTGTATCTTCTCTGATGCATCATGGAACTCCTGTAGGTGAAGGATGGCAGGCTCCACTTCTGGTAGCATTTCTCTGCTTAGGTGACTTTTCCAGAAAGCATTTTTTGCTTTTTACCGATAGTTTATAAGATCATAAGCGAAGCCTTGTTGGATCAGGCCAGTGGCCCGTCCAGTCCAACGCTCTGTGCCACACAATGGCCAAAACCCAGGGGCCATCAGGAGGTCCACCAGCAGGACCAGAACTCCAGAAGCCCTCCCAGTGTTGCCCCCCCCCCTCAGCACCAAGAATACAGAGCATCACTTGCCCCACAGTGAGAGTTCCTATCTATACCTTGTGGCTGATAGCCAGTGATGGATCTCTGCTCCATATGTTGATCCAATGTCTTCTTGAAGCTGTCTATGCTTATAGGAACGGTTGGTGTCTCTGTGATGGGACTTGGTGAAATCTTTGGGGATGTGTTCTTCTGCTTCTTGAGTTTTGCTTCACTGATCTTTATACATTTATTTAGACTTGTATTCCACCCTCCCCGCGAGTGGGCTCAGGGCGGATTGCATAACAGATTCTCAAGTCATCAGTTCATTACAGTAGGTATTGTCAGGGGTCATTTCCTGCAGGAGCGCACAGGAGCAGAGCTTCAGCAGTAAAGAGCCCCATCCCCGGTCTGCCTTCAGGTACAAGCTCTCCCTCCTCTGTGAGGGCAAATCTGCGCGTTCCCCCCCCCCTAGCTAGCAATCCAGAACAGTCCAGTGGCGCCTGAGCGGTGGGTGTTGCCTTCTGACACACTTCTGGTGATGTCAGGGGGTGTGGCATATGCAAATGAGTTATGCTAATGAGCTCCTGCACCTCTTTTTCTATGAAATGACCCCGTGGTATTGTAATGGACTTTCAAACAGAATCAAACACTTCTAGGGTGCTTTATGAATATGATGGGCAGACAGTACAATTAGTGGCGTTGTCATAAATAGACAATTGTAAGAACATAAGAGACGCCAATGTTGGATCAGGCCAAAGGCCCATCCAGTCCAACACTCTGTGTCACACAGTGGCCAGAAATACGAGTGCCATCAGGAGGTCCACCCAGTGGGGCCAGGACATTAGAAGCCGTCCCACTGTTGACCCCCCCCAGCACCAAGAAACAGAGCATCACTTGAACAGAGTCCCTATCTATACCTTGTGGCTAATAGCCACTGATGGACCTCTGCTCCATATGCTTATCTAATTCCCTTTTGAAGCCGTCCATGCTTGTAGCCGCCACCACTTCCTGTGGCAGTGAATTCCATGTGTTCATCACTCTTTGGGTGAAGAAGTACTTCCTTTTATCCGTTCTAACCCGACCGCTCTGCAGTTTCATGGAGTGCCCACGAGTTCTTGTATTGTGAGAAAGGGAGAAAAGTACCTCTTTCTCTACCTGCTCTTTCCCATGCATAATCTTATAAACCTCAATCATGTCACCCCTCAGTCGTCGTTTCTCCAAGCTAAAGAGCCCTAAGCGCCTTAACCTTTCCTCATAGGGAAAGTGTTCCAACCCTTTTATCATTCGAGTTGCCCTTTTCTGCACTTTTTCCAAGGCTATAATATCCTTTTTAAGGTGTGGTGACCAGAACTGCACACTGTATTCCAAATGAGGTCGCACTATTGATTTATATAGGGGCATTATGATATTGGCTGATCTGTTTTCAATACCCTTCCTAATAATCCCCAGCATAGCATTGGCCTTCTTTATTGCAGTCACACACTGTCTTGACATTTTCTGTGAGTTATCCACTACAACTCCAAGATCTCTCTCTTGATCAGTCTCTGCCAGTTCAGACCCCATCAATGTGTATTTATAGTTAGGATTTTTGGCTCCAATGTGCATCACCTTGCACTTGGGCACATTGAACCCCATTTGCCATGTTGACGCCCACTTGCCCATCCTTGACAGATCCCTTTGGAGTGCCTCACAATCCTCACTGGTTTTCACCACCCTGAACAACTTTGTATCATCCGCAATTGATAACAATTGTGTTATCAAAGGTGTAGAATACATGTTTTTTATTAGTTTTGTCAGGTACAATTGCAGTCATCAATTTTGAGAATCAAAATGCCTTTTGAACCCCAAAATAGAATGTGATGCATCACCTTATGTGTTGTTGTCTTTCTCCTCCGCAGCTCTACTCTTGTTCGCTAGATGGCACCATTAAGCTGTGGGATTTTCTGGATGGGATTCTCATTAAGGTTAGTTCATGACTGAGAAAGCTGCGTCTGGATAAATGCAGTCTCAGGCCCATTCTGCATTCGCTCCACTGTTTTACCAAACCCACGCTGCAACAGAAATTCCCCTCTGCATTGCATGCCACTTTCACTCCCTTTGATAATCGGGTTTTAGGGTACCTTCTAAATGGATTTATGGCCATTCAGGGGTGACTTTGCAGTCAGTACGACGTTGGCCTGGGGTATTTGAATGTGGTTTGGAGCCGCATCTTTTTCTGTTCCAGTGTGAGTTTGGTAAAACAACGGAGCGAATGCTAGATGCAGAATGGGCCTCAGTCTTCTTGTCGTCGGTGGTGGATTCCCCCCCCCCCCCATGAAAAGCCTGATCCGGCCTCCGGGCCGCATGTTTGACACCCCTGCCTAAGCTGTGCGTGTGAGCGGCCGCTTATGAACACCGGAAGCCCCGCTCAGCAGCAGTCAGGCGCCACGCGGGGTCTTGCATTGCCCGTGGCCCATTTTAAGACTATAGCTATTATATTCTGCTCAGGATGTGAACTGTGCCACTTGGTAGGGAATAAAAATTAGAGGGAGTGTTGGTTGGGTCTTCCTCTTTTCCTACTTCCTTCCACTTTTCCTAGCAACGTCTTTTCCAGTGAGTCTTGTTTTCTCATAATGTGACTGAAGTTCGATAGTTACGGTTTTAGTCGTTTTAGATTCTAGGGAAACTTCAGACTCGGTTTGATCTAGAACCCGCTGATTTGTTGAGGTTAGTGGTGAAAAGTGCCGTCAACGCACAGCTGACTTATAGTGACCCTGTAGGGTTTTCAAAGCATGAGGTGTTCAGAGGTGGGTTTGCCATCACCTACCTCCGCCTCACGACCCTGGTATTCCTTGGTGGTCTCCCATCCAAATACTAGCCAGTGCCGACCCTGCTTAGCTTCTGAGATCTCACCAGAGTGTGCTAGTGTGGGCTATCCAGGTCAGGGTTGTTGAGGTTAGGTAAAGGTAAAGGTTTCCCTTGCTCGAAAGCCAGTCGAATCGGACGCTAGGGTTGCGGTGCTCATCTCCGTTTCCAAGCCGAAGAGCCAGCACTGTCCGAAGACGTGTCCGTGGTCGTGTGGCCGGCATGACTAAACGCCAAGGCGCTCAGAACACCGTTACCTTCCCACCAAAGTGGTACCTATTTATCTACTTGCAGTTTCTTGCTTTCAAACTGCTAGGTTGGCAGCCACTGATTGTTTCTATTACTAGGTATGTTGGCATTCAACTTGGTTTTCAGTTGACTCTTAACAGATGTTATATGTGTGTGTGTGTGTTCTCTTTCAGACATTCGTGGTTGGGCAAAAACTCTTTGCGTTCTACGCAGTTCCAAGTTTTGAGGGTTCAGCGTTTGTCATTATTCCAAAGGACACCGATGAAAGACTTGGTATGGTGTAATTCCCTTCTTCCGTTTTGTAGTGTTAACGTCTCGTATGCTTTAAAAAAGTGATCTAGGAATGGTTCCTATCTATTAGAAGGAGGAGATGAAGAGGATTGTGTGGTAGCAGAAATGGTTTACATAGTTTGTGTAATATATTTTAACACAAGAGAGTGTTTTGCTGCTGGGCAGTTGAGAGGTGGTGTGGTGTAGTGGTTCAGAGTGCCGGGCTGGGATGTGGGAGATCCAGGTTCGAATCTCTGCCCTACCATGGGAGCATCGCTGGGTGGCCTTGGGCCAGTCATACTCTCTCTGCCTAGTCTACGTCACAGGGTTATACTGAGGATAAAATAGGAGAGAAGAGCAATGTAAGCTGCTTTCATTCCCGGCAGGAGAAAAGGAGAGGTATCAAACGAAACGGATAAGTAAAACAGGTAAAGAAATGTGTCCCATACGCAGATAGGGGTGTCACTTTTTGTTATTCGCAACCTAAAGCCTGGTCCTGCCAACTGGTGCCTTGACTCAAAAATGTTAAGAGTGGAGTACAACGATTGGTGCATCAAAACGGTTGTTGTTGTTCTGTTGTTGTTATTCTATTGTTATTTCTATACCACCCATAGCCAAAGCTCTCTGGGTGGTTTGCAACGTGTATAAAACAGTAAAATACAGTAAATACAAATAAATAGAGATTAAAATTAAAAATTAATATAACGTAAGAACACTAAAAACAGTAGAAGCAGCAAAGACCGGTAAAGATCTATCAGCAATGCATACAGAATCTAGACAACCAGCCCAAGATGTCGAGCCGGTGCAAATGTCTGCATTTATGCTGCTGAAACCAGACTAAAACTGTTGTACAAAGGAAGGGGTGATGCGTATTAAATTTTAAAGGAATTGTTATTTTGTTTTGTTTCTTCTTTACTAAAAGGTATATACCCCGCCTTTCCTCATGGGATTCGACTGGCTTTCGAGCAAGGGAACCTTTACCTTTACCACTTAGTTAAGAGTATTGTAATGTTAATGTTTTAACTAGCGTGATATAGTTATGTTTATTTTTCGCTGTACAGTGCCCTAAGCCCTGTTTACAGGGAATTGGGGGGTGGGGGGGTATGAAAATTGAATTTATTTAATTAATTCATTAACTAACAATAACGTCTTCATAATCGGCAGATGTGCTGTGCTTCATAGCATGGGGATTCTGCTTTAAATATGTCAGTGTAAATGATTTATCGCAGCTGATACTTCGAAGGATCAGGGCACCTCGATTCAAGAAACAAACTGTGAGTCCGGTGGCACCTTTGAGATCAAGGTATAAGCTCTCGTGTGCAGGCACACTTCTTTAGGTATCTGCATGGTACCTGAAGAAGTGTTCTTGCACACAAAAGCTTATATCTTGAATAAAACTTTGTTGGTCTCAAAGGTGCCACTGGCTCAAGCTTTGTTCTGCTGCTTCGGACCAACACAGCGACCACACCTGAAGGTAGAAGAGAGTGGATTTATACCCCACCCTTCACTCAGAGTCTCAGAGCGGCTTACAAACTCCTTTCCCTTCCTCCCTAAGAACATGAGAAGAGCCCTGCTGGATCAGACCAGGGGTCCATCCAGTCCAGCCTCCTGTCTCACACAGGGGCCAACCAGCTCCTCTGGAGGGCCAACAGCAGGGCAGAGAGGCCTCGGCCTCCCTAAGAACATGAGAAGAGCCCTGCTGGATCAGACCAGGGGTCCATCCAGTCCAGCCTCCTGTCTCACACAGGGGCCAACCAGCTCCTCTGGAGGGCCAGCAACAGGGCAGAGAGGCCGAGGCCTTCCCCTGATGTTGCCTCCTGGCTCTGGGATTCAAATGATGAGTATCTCTGACTGTGGAGGTTCCCTTTAGTCACCATGACTAGTAGCCATCGATAGACTTCTTCTCCATGAACCTATCTAATCCCCTTTTATTTTATTTCTGTGGCCATCACGACATCCTTTAGCAACGAATTCCACATTTTCATCACTCCTCTGTGTCAAGTAGTTTTTCCTTTTGTCTGCCCTGAACCTACTGCCCATCAGCTTCATGGGATGCCCCCGAGTTCTAGTCCTACTGGTTGTTACAGCTGAACCATGATGTTCCGGAGCTTACACAGAGTATCTTCAAGCAAGGGTGGTGGGTGGAGGAAAGGGGATAAGCCGTCAGAGTGCCGGAAGATGAGAGTTTTAGCAGGAGTTTTCCACTAAGATGGCTTCTCTCGACACCGTGTTCTTAGACTGCAACTGTTGTGTACTGTCTCGGTATGATACCTGTGTGGATAAAATGCACAGCAACTTTTTAAAATATATTTTAAATAAATTTTGTATTACATTACAATAGCTAATATCATCAAATCATAGAATCATAGAATGTTAGATTTGGAAGGGACCTTGCAGGTCATCTAGTCCAACCCCCTGCACTCTGCAGGAGTATACTGAAAGATAGCCCCACATACCTACAACACACCCGAAAGATGGTGGTCCAGCCTCCGCTTGAAAACGTCCAGCGAAGGAGCATCCACAACCTCCCGAGGCAGTCTGTTCCACTGCTCAACCACTCTTACAGTCAGGAAGTTTCTCCTGATATTTAGCTGGTAACGACTCCCTTGTAATTTCCACCCATTAGACCTAGTCTTGCAATCCGGAGCAAGAGAGAATAGAACTGCACATTTCACAATTCTATAGGGCATCTTTAACATTTGGTCTTTGGCAAACTAATACAAAGCTATATCTTTATACTTATTAGGCAATTTTGACAAGCTATTTACATTAACTTAACATTAACTAAACAAAAAATAGAACTAATCTTGTTAATGTTGTATATGGCAAAGACACTACTGGCATTGAACTGGAATAAAATTGAGAGTTCCAAATTTATACAACTGCTATACAAAAATATGGGATGTGACCACTGCAGACAAGATAGCTACTCAAATGATGGTAGCTCAAGGTGCAAAGAAAAAGAATAATTTTCTTGAAAAGTGGTTTTCTTTTTCTGAATATACTTCTACACAGCAAGTTTTTTTTAATTAATGAGGACGCCTTCTTTCACCAGGGACATATCAGCTGGTTACAGTGAAACTGCCGAAGACACCCGGTCAGGAAATAAACGTCGGCGAGAGGGAATTGGTTTTGGAGGGCATCGGCCGATCCCCCAAGTGCACCGCATTCGGAAGAGAAGTACGCTCACCTTCCATATTTGTACACACTATCTCTCCCTTATATATAATTGAGTAAGACGCCGCGTGAGACAAAATGCGCTCCGTCAGCCATTGGCTGGCCAGCTGCCGCTCAAGGCTGCTGCCCTGCCATTGGCTGGGAGCCGGGAGGCGAACGCTGCGTCTGAACGGTGCAGCGGCGATGTGCCCCACACTGCGGCCTGATTTCCCTCCCCCACCCACCTAGTTGAAGCCCGCCAGCGGCGGCCATGACCCTCTCACCACGCCCCGATTTTACCCACCCACCCACCCAGTTGGGGCCCGCTAGCAGTGATTCCTTCTCCCTCCTCCGGACTGTCCCCGT